CGTCCTCCCTCTGCGGCTCCCACTCTCAGACTGATGTGATCGTGGTGTGGTGTCCAGCTCCAGCTGCAAAGTGTGCACTGCTAGCGAGCCCTCAGGTACTTCGAGCGTCCCGGGGCCGCCCCATCTGTCCCCTCTTCTGCTGGCAAGTGCGCCGGTCTAGGGATTAGCGCCAGCGCCCAGCCGGGGTTTCCTGGGAAGGAAAATACCCGACGACGGCGGGGTGTCCAGGCGAATCAAAAACGTACTGGCGTCGCTCATGTTCGTCTCGGAGCGACCTGAATGCATACTCAGTACGCTCTGTCAGCGTATAGAGCTACCCGATGGCGGGCATAAGTCGCTCCGGCGCGAACCTCCGGTGATCCGTGGCGATACGTCGCTCAGGAGCCTGACGAACCTCGGCGACCAATCGGCGCACCGAGCGCGACCCTCCGCGAACCGATAGCATACAGAAAGCATACAGAAAGCATACCAAAAGCAAACAAATCTTTTTACGTCGGGTGGTGTTATAACCATGGACTTATTCCCTTCTTCCGCTTCAGCATTCTAATGTGCCATACACAAAATAAATTTGATATGATTTTGCAGCCGATTCCGTTTGTAAACTGCAGCCGTGCCAGTTAAGTGCGCACAGCAGAAAGGATACTCTTACTTTTGGATTCCGATTCGAGTGAGGCTCAATTTCCTTTACGCCGATCGCAAGTGCGCTGTATCGTCCCGTCCTGAATCTCGAACTTTATTCTCGCATCATTTTCTGTCGTTGCGCGCAAACGATTGCTCCTTCGACATGTTTACGTTTGCGGCGGTATCGGAACGTATATGCAAACACATTTTCCCTTCTGAAACTTCCCGCGCGCGAGATTCAGACGAAGGAGACGTCGGGGAGGTGGGGCGACAGTGGATAGACAAGGATGTAAGGGGGTATGAGGGAGAGGATGGCGGGTTTATGCATCAAATACTCGTCAAGGAGCTCTTTGCAAGAGAATGCAATACGTTTGGCTGGAGGCCAAAGCGGCGTATTCGGATGAAATGGATTGGCGTAAGTGCTACCTTGGGTGTCCTTTCGATATGCTGTTATTACGTTCATGGTCTGGAGATAAAAAGCCTCATTGGAATACCGTGGCGGTTGAGTAGTGGAGAAATGGGTTGAACATAATATTTTTTTCCTGACTCGCCTTTAGTCAAGGGTGCCCTCTTTTTTGCATCAAAAGATCTAGTTGCTCTAATTATGATGAAATATTTTACAGGGCGCAAAATAGCCACTTACCGAGTTTTTTTTTGTCTGGGCCATAGGCTCTCTGCCGTCGATTCCAGAAGCTTGCATCCTTCTTCCTGGGCCGCCCACGTCGCCTCCGCTGTGGTCCGCGAGCGCGCCGGGCCGTAAGTCACTTTTATTGCACTTACTCGCCCGCTAATGTGCCCCTCAACACGTGCTCAACCAGCACTTTTATTGCGGCACTTATCACCTTTTTTTATGGCACTCGTGACGTCACTTTACAGCGCGTATGACGTCACTTTATGACGTGTGTGATCGGCGCACGATGTCACCTCCAAGGCGCTGTTGTGGAGGGCCAGGGCACGCGCGAGGGGCTGAGCGGGGCGGCGGCGCGCGCTGGCCTGCGGCGATACCCCGAGGCCAAGGTCGCAAACCCTGCGCCCTAGCGCGTTGAGGTCACTGGTCACTCCGGAGGGGTATCGGCGGACGAAAGCGGTGCGCGTGGCTTGTGGTCCCTGTGCCACTCATACACGCAGCATCAACCGTGGTGGTGGGGGAGGGGGGGGGGATGCACCACAACCCGCGTCTACATGAGCGGAACTCAGTACGTTTTTGTCGTAGGAAAATCGCAACCACGTCTGGTAAATACCGTTTAGGGAGCGTTCCCCGAGCGCGCCGCAAAAGTTGTTGCAGCCTGGCTGCCACACGCAACCTCACCGGGCACGTCTGCCGACCGGGCCGATCTACGAGACACTGACAACCCTTCGGATGGCGATGCGCGTCCTCCTCCACCACCTCCACCTCTATTGCACCGTGAGGGCGGTCAAGGTCGTCGGTGCAGTGACAACAAGCCCTTTACAACTGCCACTATAACGCTGCCCGCCCTCATTTACCGCGTCCTTGAGCGCGACACGCAACAACGAAAAGGGCAAAGGGGCCTTCCAGAATATTGCTGTCCGGATCCCCTTTTTATTTATTTCGGGTCGGGGGCAGCCGATTGTTTTCTCCCAAAGGGACGGACGGACCGACGGACACGGCGCAACCCTTCTAACGACACAATGCTCCCGCTCCGCTTTGAGTGAGTGTGTGTGTGTGTGTGCGTGCGTGTCACGGTGATGGCCTTGAAGCGAATCGCCCTGCTCGGCGGACTTGCCTCCGAAATCGTCCGATGCATATCGGTTCTCGTCTGCGGCGCAGAGTTCGTAAAGCCTGTTACGTGGGACAGTTTTTCGGACGCGTCCCCGTGGCACGTCGCGTTGTTGACCCTGGTCGGGAACACAGACGCGACGGTTTGCGACCGCAGTCATGTCGTTCAACCCGACCAGCAGCAGCGCAGGCTATGCCGGTGGGGGCCCTGACCATCCTGATCTCTGCCGACGCCAGAGTTTTTACTTTCGCAGGTCAGGTACATCCTCCCTCTGAATCACTTAGGGATTGAGAAAAAAATACTGTATAAGTATTGCCACCCCCCTCGACACATTCGGAGTCATAAACCAATCAAAGCCGAAAGACATTGCCCCTGCCCCGGTTTACTGCCTGTCTATAATTCCATGAATTCGACAGAAAAATAATATTTTCGTTTGGGTCACGTGATGATTTCTTTCTGTTTGCTCTGCTGATTGGAGGGAATGGACTTCATGTGCGCGGGGTTAAATTGCGGTTTGGCCTTGCGGGGGTGAAATGGTGAGGGGCAGAAGCAAGGTGGGGAGAGGGGGGGCATTCTGCCAACTGTCTCT